AGTTCACAACAACCTCAAACTCTTGGGCTCAAGCGATTCACTTGCCTCAACCTCCTGAGTAGCTGGGACTCTAGGCGCCTGCCACAATGCCCAGCTGTTTTTAGAGACGGGATGTCACTCTTGTTCAAGCTGGTCCGTGAGCTTAAGTAATTCACTTACCCTGGCTTGCCAGAGTGCTAGGATTATAGGCATCAGCCACCACGCCAGGCCATCCTGTAGCTTTTAAACTCAAGACTGTACATACTCTGCTGTTGCATTTTAATTTTGTATTGGTGAGACCATTCACTTTTGGAATATTTCTTCATGAACTGACTCTTCCTTATCTAAGAGATACTTCCTTGAATCCCAGTATCTTTTTAACTATCCCTGTGGTTTTTGGCAGCATAAACTTGAACGGGATTTGCAGCAGAGGGAGGAAGAGATTGCTGAATTGCAGAAAGCTCTAAGTGATATGCAAGTCTGCCTCTTCCAGGAACGGGAACATGTTTTACGCCTCTATTCAGAAAATGATCGACTGAGAATCAGGTACGAACTAGAAGAAGGGAAATCAAGTTATAACTCTGAGATACCTTTAAAAAGATAAACTTCTGGTTGTGCCCACAGCTCAGTGGTTAGGGCCCAGGCCACATGCTCCAGGGCTGGTAGATTCAAACCTGGCCCAGGCATGCTACACAAAAAAAGTAAAATAGCTAGGCATTGTGGCGGACACCAGTAGTCCCATCTACTTGGGAGGCTGAGGCAAGAGAATCGCTTGAGCTCATGAGTTTGAGGTTGCTGTGAGCTATGATGTCACAGCACTTTACGTAAAACTGTCTCAAAAAAATAAAAGATAAACTCCTCTGCAGTCATTCTTTTAGGTTGTATATTCCCTAGGAAACAGATTCTGATATAGTGATTTGCCTGCATGACAATTATTGGGAAGGCTCTCAGGAATAATACCTGTGAGCAGATCTGGGCAGAAGAAGAACTTGAACTCTGGTAATAGTGGTAACAGAAACCTTAGCCAGTACTACCAGGAGCTTTAGGCTCAGGTTGCCTTTCAGAGTCAAAGGATTCAACTTTTATATCCCCCTGCTGATCAGTCATAGGATGCAGGCTATCCCTAGAAAGAGTATAAACTTGGGAGCTCCCTTCAGCCAATTCCTAGAAGACTCAGTTCCTGGGAAATGGGTATCTTGGTCCTAAAGGGGTGCATCTGAGCTCTACATTGCAGCATCCACTACAGCGCACTTCTTTTTGTATATGTGTTGAAATGTACATAACATAAAACTTATTATTTTAACCATTTTTAAGTATATAGTTCAGAGGCATCAAGTATATTCACATTATTGTGCAACCATCATTGCCATCCAACTCCAGAGCTTTTTCATATTTCTAAATTGTGTACCTATTAAACAATAATCCCCATGTCCTTGTTAGCCCAACCCATAGCAACCACCCTCTCTCCATCCCTATGAGTTTGACTACTCTAGGTACCTCAGGTGAGATCATACAGTATTTGTCCTTTTATATCTGGCCTATTTTACTTAGCGTAATGTCTTCAAGGTTCACCCATGTTGTAACAGATTTTCTTCCTTTTTAAGTCTGAACAATATTTTCTGGGATGTATATACCACATTTTGCTTATCTATTCATCTCTCAGTATGTCCACCTTTTGGCTATTATGAATAATGCTGCTGTGAACATGGATGTGCAAACGTGTCTTCAAGACCTTGCTTTTAATTTTTTTGGGTATATACTCAGAAGTGAAATTGGATCACATGGTAATTCTGTTTTTATTTTTTTGAGGAACTACCATACTGTTTTCCATAGTGGCTCTCCCATTTTACGTTCCCACCAATAGTGCAGAAACATTTCAGTTTTTCTGTGTCTTTACCAACACTTATTATTTTCTGTGTATTTGATAATAGCCATGTTAATGAGTGTCAGGGGGTCCCATTGTGGTTTTGACTGGCGTTTTCCTTCTGTTTTTTAGAGACAGTACCTCACAACTATCCCCTGGGCTGGAGTGCAGTAACATGATCATAGCTTGCTTCTGGGCTCCAGCAATCCTCTCGCCTTAGCCTCCCAAGTAGCTAGGACTACAGGTATATGCCACCATGTCTGGCTAATTTTTAAATTTTGTGTAGAGGCCGAGCATGGTGGGTCACATCTATAATCCCAGCACTCTGGGAGGCTGAGGCGGGTGGATTGCCTGAGCTCACTAATTCGAGATCAGCCTGAGCTAGAGTGAGACCTTGTCTCTAAAAATAGCCAGGCATTATGGCAGGCACCTATAGTCCCAGCTACTTGGGAGGCTGAGGCAAGGGAATTGCTTGAGTCCAAGAATCTGAGGTTGCTGTGAGCTATGACACCATGGCACGCTACTGGGAATGACAAAGTGAGACTATGTCACAAAAAAAATTTTTTTCTTTTTGTGTAGAGACAAGATCTTATTGTGTTGCCCAGGCTTACCTAGACCCCAAGTGATCACCCCAAGTGATCCTCTCATTTTGGCCTCCCAAACAGGCATGAGCCACCATACGTGGCCACATTTCCTTTTTTTATTTGTTTTTGTGAGACATTGACCTGGGTAAAATGCCCTGGTGTCCTGGCTCACAGCAACCTCCAAGTCTTGGGCTGAAGTGATCCCTCCTGCCTCAGTGTCCCCAGTAGCTGGGACTACAGGCACTGGCCACCATTCCAAGTTAATTTTTCTTTTCTTTTCTTTTTTTTTGAGACAGAGTCTCACTTTATTGCCCCCAGTAGAGTATCCTGGCGACACAGCTCACAGCAACCTCAAACTCTTGGACTGAAGCAATTCTCTTATCTCGGCCTCCCAAATAGCTGGGACTACAGGCGCCCACCACAGTGCCCGGCTATTTTTTAGAGACTAGGTCTTACTCTGGCTCAGACTGGTCTCAAATTTGTGAGCTCAGGAGATCCATCCACCTCAGCCTCCCAGAATGCTAAGATTACAGGCATGAACCATTGCACCTGGCCTTTTCTTTTCTTTCTTTTTTTTTTGAGACAGAGTCTTGCTTTGTTGCCCTCAGTAGAGTTCTCTGATGTCATAGCTCACAGCAACCTCAAACTCGTTGGGCTCAAGTGATTCTCTTATCTCAGCCTCCTGAATAGCTAGAACTACAGGTGCCCGCCACAAGGCCCAGCTAATTTAGAGACAGGGTGTTGCTCTTGCTCAGGCTGGTCTTGAACTCAAGCGCTCAGGCAGTCCACCGCCTTGGCCTCCCAGAGTGCTAGGATTACAGGTATGAGCCATGGTGCCCAGTTTTTTGTATTTTTAGTAGAGACAGAGCGTCATTCTTGTTCAAGCTGGTCTTGAGCTCGTGAACTCAAGCAATCCACCTGCCTTGGTCTATTTTCTTAATGATTAATAATGTTGAGCATTTTTTCATATGCTTATTAGCCATTAGTGTATGTTCTTTGGAGGAATGTCTATTCAAGACTTTTGTCCATTTTTAATTATGGGGTTTTTTGGTCATTGTTGAGTTTTAGGAGTTCTCTGTATATTCTGGATATTAGATACGTGATTTGCAAATATTTTTCCCCATTTTGTAGATAGCCTTTTTACTTTCTTTTTTTTTT